ATCATTTGGCGGTTTTGACCCTTCAAGTCTAGATTCTTAACTTTATGTCAATATAGGTATAAACTCAACTTTTGTCACAAAACTAGTCTGAGGTATAAGTTGGTTAAACATAAGATACAAATATGTTATGCATAATTCTACAAGTTGGTTAAACATAAGATACAAACTGGATATTATACGCGAGACACTAGAACCAGTGTCTCGAACCCCGGTACGCATAGGAACAGCCGATGAAGATGAGAGAACTAAGGACACCTTAAGGCCTCAAGGAGAGGGAGAGACGGTGAAAGCAGAGGAAGAGAGGGTAAGAGCAGAGCAAGAGAGAGAGAAAGAAAGAAAACGAGAGGAGGCGAGGAAAAAGAAAATTGAGAGGGAGAGGAAGAAAAAGGAAGAGGCAGATCGAGCAAAGCACGAAAGATTGGCTGAGCTTGCTCGTGTTAGAGCAGAGGAGGAACGAGCAGAAAAAGCTCGCCAGGAATAGATCGCTCGTCTAAGGAAAGAAGCCAAACTCAGAGTAGAGGAAGAAGCTCGTCAAAACTTGGTTCAATCCTCTAGTCCAAACCAAGGGGATGACCAAGAGTACTATGACGATGTTGCAAGGTCTTATACAAGTGAGAAAAGTGAGGAAGAAAAAGAAGAGAGTGAAGAAGAAGAGAATGAAGAAGAAGAGAGTGAGGAAGGAGAGGAAAGAGAAGAGGAAGAAGAGGGAGGAGGTGCAGAAGCTGCTCTGCCTTAGGGCGAGCTAGAGCAGCCTAGGCTAAATAGGCACATTCGTTTTACCACCCCAACTTCCAGTGCAAATGAATCATCTGACTCCGGTGGTCAAGACACGGAGGTCATTGAAATAGAGGTGCACACCTCGAACCCAAGCCAGCCTATCCAACCAGAGGTCGCATCTGCCTCTAGTTATATCAGCCAAGGGGAAGCCTCACCACAGGGAACACCCTCTCAAAAGGGTGAAACCTTGAAAATATAAGTGATATGTCTCTCCATATGACGCCACTTTCTCATACAGAGGAATTTGTTTCCTCTGCACGTGTAGACTCCCAACCTTGTTTAGAGCAAGGAATGGGCGCACATGGCTTGGAGACTCTCGAACAGTCTCTTAGTCCACTCATGGAGAGCCCTCTGGCTGGCTCTGAACCAGCCTTGGATCCTCTCCCTGACAGAACAGAGGTAGTGAATTCTCCTCAAGGAGAAC